TACTTGCTCACAGTGCACAGGATATCAGGATTTGGCACATTGACGATCTCTGACAGTTTTTGAGGTGAAAAAAACGGATTTTTTTAAAAATATAAAATATAAAATCCCCTACTCACCAATATTTTAGAAGTTTGAGTCATGTAAAACAATTTATTAATTTTAAGTGGCCTTAACACCAGTACAGCACCAACGAAGAATAAATACACCCGCACCATAAACTCCACTAAACACAACCACGGACTTAAAGATCACATTCATCGTTAACGTGTACAGCTTAACAGCAGTAACGAGAAATAGGATGTTTCGAATAGTTTTTGCCCTACCGTTTTTATCTGGCGTACTGGCAGGGCAACTAAATGGTTCAAAGGACCCGAAAGCTGATGGGAGGTGTAGTTTCTGTTTGGCTAGGCAGTCATGGAAAAGTGGAATTGTGTTTCAGGAGATAGGAATCACAAAATGAGAATTAGGGTAAGAGTATGCTTTCAATTGTGTGTGTATGTCTAACAAAGAACAAGACGTTACTTTTTTTTTTTTTACCGAACTTAGTCGACAAAACTAAGAAACCGAACACCGAAGCTACCACCATGCAAGGAAAGCAATGATAGTATGTTATTCTCACAAAGAAATTAAGAAGCTTTTACCTAAGAACACGACAAAAATACCGCCAACCGCCGCTTTAATATTTATGTCAGTCAACTGACTCCTATATTATTCACCAAGGTCTACTACCGCCACACGGCAGCACTCGGGTTCTTATACCTGAGGTGGTTTGTCGTGGGGTGGGTGCGGCACCGCTCTGTAATCAGCACATGCTCCTTACCTCCTCCACTGGAATACCGCTGCGTCCCAGACCCACTGGTAGCAGCAGGTGGTAGAGTAAGTAATAAGGTAATAAAAAGGGTAACAAAATAATAGTGAAAAAAACATAGCTTCGGGCTATGTACTGTTTTCGCATGGTGTTAAATTTCACTAGTGACTAGCTCGAGAATTAACACCCTAACTGTATATTTACCTATACTTATCACTCACCTTCGTCTTTCCGAATCCAAAAACAATCTCTTGCTCCTCTTTCTGACTCTTTCAAACTTTTAATTGTAAGAAGCAGTAAAGGCATTCTTAGCACGTTTTAAATGTTTGAATTCAGTGAAAGAAACACGTGCAGTAATTCTCTGACATATTTTAGCATATCCTATGATAAATGAGGCTGCTGCAATTAACTGTATATGCACATGGACAACTGTGCATTGTGTCTGTCTACTTTCAATTGACACATATCAGAATCGGTACTGGCACACTATCAATATTGGTTGCGACGTACTTTTACCAGAACAAATAATTTAATTATTTGGTTTTTTATTTTCAAGGTTAGGCATGCATCTAGTATCTGTTCTCCAACCCGAGCCAGTAAAGTCGTTTTCTTGCTGCTGTAACGTAGGCTTCTTTCGCTTTCAGCCCGCCCATAAATTGTGTACGCCGCTTGGCAGATAAGTTAAGCTAAGGACTTTGGTCTTTACCGTAATGGCGATTTTTAGCGTTTTGTATCAAATTTTATTTTTGTGGTGAGCCGCGTTTCTTCAAAGCGTCTGCTGTCGCCCTTTCATTTTAAGAAATCCTGTAAGAGGCCGGAAGGAGGAGTATGAAATGAATCTAGACGATTTTGACCGCTGTAGCCGTTTTGAGAGTTTTAAAGAGTCTTGGGATCATTACGGCTATGGAGGTGACTTCGAAGGCATGGTGCTAGCAGAGTTTTCCAGGATTAAAGGTACGCCGAGGTCTGCAGATGCAGCTGTAATAGTTAAAAAAGTTACAACTCATAAGATCCTGAGAATTTTTTAGAAATAAAAAATTCAAAGTCTGTGGGTATATGTGTAATTCATACTGAGCCCCTATAGGGACAAGGCTTGGAGAATATTAACATTTTTGCGTTCCCTCGGAATCCTGTCTTGTGACTTACATTTGCTGTGGACTGTTTTGCTGCTGTGCCCCGGATTCAGACATATCCAATGGCAATGGATCACCTGAATTTTCTTCTAACTTATACTCCAAAATACAGTTGGGGCGTAGGTAGCGGGGAGACGTGTCCCCCCAGTTTTTAATTCGGATTAATTAATCACTCCAATAAATATACCTTGGTATTTAAATTCGCTGTCTCTTAAACTCTTGTCTCTCTTTCTGGACCCTCGCGTGTATTTTCATACTTCGGACCGAGAGAACCGGCAAGAACACAAAAAAACTTAACGAGAGAATTCGACTGTCCCTCACAAAAACTGTAAAGTTTTAGTGGCTAAATTGCGTTTTCTATGCCTTTTCAGACAGGAGGAGATTTGTTAGCATCCAGTTTTGGAAAATGAAATAGTGCAAAATGTGTCTTACAAGTCATAAAGTGTCACCCATTAAAACAGACAAAAGTCCACTAGAAAGTAAGGCTACTCACACGAACAAACTGGAACCCTGAAATTGTAGGAAATGTACAGCAATTAATGCATTAAACCCTGTACCAAGCAAACTGCCTTCCCAGCAACTGCAGCTGTATCAACTGAAAGTCTTAATTGTGGATTTGGGGTTTCATATACTTATACAGATAGTATCTTGTCTTCAGCTCTGGTCAGTATGTGAAGATATTAATGTGACATTCTCTGTCTTTGTCCAAAAAAGGAATGACTTACCTCGATCATGCAGGGACAACATTGTTTCCAGAGTCACAAATTAAAGGATTCTTCCAAGATTTATGTGGAAGTGTCTATGGTGAGCTTTCATTTCTTCTGCTCAATCATTTCATTCTAAAATCCTTTAGAAAACAACCAGTTTCATATAAACAGTGGGGATTGTTTGCAATAATGTGTATCCAGATGCTACTTTAAATATAGAGTAGGAACTCAATAATCTAACAAAATCCTATATTAGTATTCAGCATATACTAACAGAGATGGGGACAGGTGAAAAGTAGGAATGCATTACTTGTGTACTTACAGGCTACACTGACATGAAGAGACCACAGTGACAGGAAGTGGAACTGATTGCACAAAATAATGGGATATGCTAACAGCAACAGGTTACAATGGTGGGATCGGCTCAGACTTCACTACCATAAACATTCCACACAGGGAGAAACAGCAATGGTTTAGAGCTACAGGGTCAGGCTACACCTGTAGTTACAATTTACCATAGGAGCCACAGAAATAGACTACACTGATGTAATCGGGCTACTTCGATAGGAACAGGCTACACTAGTAATCACAATCAACTGTAACAAGAATAAGAACAGGCTAAAAGGCAAACAGGAAAACTAAAGATTTTCCCAGGGATGATTATATGCAAGCATAGAAAAATTGATTGCCTAATTCTGTAGACAGCTTCAAATGCATAAATAATTGACCATGTATTTAAAAGTAAGCCAGAACTGTGAGTTTTGTCATTAATAGTAAGGTTTATTTGGCAAATATGTAATTGTTTTTTTTACCTAATAAATGCATACAATTTCTAATGCGTATTCTTCAGATACACACGGTTTTTTGTAGCCTATATGCTAATCCATAAGAGTTGTACCTCAGTGGTTTCACATTGCTGTATTTCAGTGTTTCTCCAATCAGTCCTTGGGGAGCCCCAGACGGTCCACGTTTTTGCTCTCTTCCAATTCACAGTGCATAATAATGAACCACTGTGAAAATGTACTAGATTTTTACAATAAACAAAGGATGACTTGCTTAAAGTGCATTTTACTGTGATTGGTTGAGAATTTAGTGTGTAGACCTGATCTCCCAGTTTATCTATTTTAATATTCCCTCTGGCAGGTAACCCACACAGCCACAACCCCAGTAGCAGACTGACTCATGACACTGTGGAGCATGTGCGCTACAGGTATGTTATACCGGGGATTTAAATGTAACAGGAATACACATAATACACATAAGTGCAACAAGCATCATTGAAAACAATAAGTAGAAAATCATTGAAAACAATAAAGGAATAAATGGTTAAGGTACATTTGCCGGAAACTAGATTTTATCATAAATATTTTTTATAAAATATGCATTTTTCATTATTTGAAAATGAAGAAAGTCCATTGCAATATACAAAACATGTGGAGTACACAGTAAGTAAGCAGTGTTCTAATTCCTGGATTCTTCAAAAAAGCCACCATTTGCTTTGTTAACAGCTTCACAAACACAAGGCATGTGCTTAAGAAGTTTCAGCAGGAAATCACCTGTCAAGTCTTCCTAGCTCTTCTGCAGCAGTTCCCAGAGATCATGAGTTTGAGTTCTTCCTTCTTTCCCAGATAGCTCTTGAAAAATTACAAGGTCTTTTTGTGCCATTGTACTTTTGAAGAATGAAGGGCGACCTGGTCAGCTGTAATCCTGATGGAATGATATGCCTTTGAAGTGTGCTGTGATATTCATGCTGGTTGAGATTGTCAGGGATCTCATAAAGATTACCAGCTCTGTCACCAGCAAAGCAAACCCAGACCATGACACAAAAACCACCATACTTAATAGTGGTGACCATAAATGCAGATGTCATGTGTATACAGTTTAAAGCCCAGATAATTATGGTTTCAAGCAAGTTTTCTCAATCCTTTGACTGAGACTGAATGTACTGATGGAAATAGATGTGGAGTAAACCATCAACATTTATGAATCTTGAATCCTTTGCACTCATGCAGTGGTTGAGCTGCTTGTGTTGGTTTTATTTTTGAGATGGAACACTTCTGTTGACCTTTATAGGGATGAGGCATTGGGAAATAATCAGTGTGTCTTCCTGGATTATTATAGCTAGAATTGGCCAGGGGCAGCTCATGAATCTTTGATGCCAATGTCTAATATCAGATCTTGGATTTGCCTATAAGATCTATTATTCCTGTTATAGAGAACATCAGCAAGGGGTGGGGGTTGAATCCAATGTATTAATGTTATGTACCTCTGGATGCCAGGACTGAAATCTGTTTTATGTAACTAAACTTAACCAATTTATATACTGGGTTGGACCCTTTTGCTGACAGCAGTCAGAATGCACTGGGAGCTTTCCTTATGGGTTAGGTCCGTGATATTTTTGCATTTGTAGCTTTCCTGTTGAAAGTGAGTGAGAGAGATTGAGTTGTAATTGTGAGCAAGGGAGGATGAGTTTCTTGTGAGAGATGTTGAAAGTGCGCAAGAGAGATTGAGTTGTTATTGTATGTGAGAGAATGAGTTCCAAAACATGAGGGATTAAGGTCCATGCGACAGAGAACCAGTCCTACACCAGCAAAAGATATTGGGGGTCCTATTAAAATATTATTAGGAATAAATAAATAAAACATGTAATGATTTCAACATTATTTCATAAAAATTAAAACCTGTGTGCTTTTCGCTGAACAGAGTGAGTAAACACTCAGTTAAAATGATCTTGAGCAATGCCATAGTTTCTTGCAGCAACACTTTGAAATGCTGTCAAAATGGTTGACCACCTGCTGCAGAATAGTTTAAAGACACGCAAAATCCTTGCCAATACCAACAACAGTACAATTAGGACTGATAAAAGCATGCTAGCATGCAAACAGGTGGCTTGAACTACAGAACTACATAGTGCATAGCCTGAGCAGCTAGTGGGAACAACAGCTGTGTTCATCAGTCCTTCATTTGACTATATTCGATTTAAACATGCAACCTGTTGCTTTAACATTTGTAAGTGACCACTTTAATTCCATGATTATGCATACAAACGAATCCTCATATGTGATACACACACACACACACACACATTATATAGGCTACAAAGGACAAGCCTCTTCAGAAATGTGGTAGGCATGTGTTCTGTTCATTTCTGATGAAGCAAAAACAGATAAAGAGTATATGCAGGGGGGGGGGGGTATTCCACAACCCATCCATTCATTTTCTGCTACCGCTTATTCTATTCAGGGTCACAGGTAGCTCTTTCACACCAAGCCCTGGCTGGAGCTCACACGGGCCCCACCAGGAACCGTCTCGCATTCACACTGCACTTGGTGCCGAAAGGGTACAACGATGACATCAGTGTGTATGTGTTGCTGTGAGTGGGGTACCGTTTCCATAGTGAAGACAAAAATGGAGGACTGTGAGATGTGATGAATGCAAGACTTTTTGTAATGTACTGCAAATGCTTACATTATTTGTAGCTTTATTTGTTACTGTTTCTCATTCCTTTTGAAGGTCACTTTGTCATCCTACAATTTATGAGAAACTCTGATAACTTAACAGTCATCTCTGGCATTGGAATGTCACTTCCGCCCTTTACCTGGCTGGTTTCAAGTCTAGTGTTTCCCCTACCATTATATTAGGGGATGCCCCGCCCCCCAGCGGCACCTCCCTCCCCCCCTTGAAGGTCAAGTTAATTTAATTTTATTTAATTTTATTTTCTATATAGCCCCAGATCACAACAGAAGTCATTTAAGGTTACCTTTCCTATAGAACAGGTCTATACATTGTCCTTTTATTAAACAAACTAAATAGCCTTGTGTTATTTATCTTATTTACACAACAGCTTGTCATTTTTGTCGCACATTTACAATTCTCCCCTGCTCTCTCTATCGCACATGGCAAGTTCCGCCTCGATGCCTGCACACAGACACACAGGTGAGCACACTCCCAGCAGCGGACAGAGCGCGCGTCAGAAAATGTCACGTCAACCACCTGAAAAGCAGACAAAAATATCTGCGTTTTTTTTACTGCTGTCATTAAAAGAAACACATGAATACCATGAATCCTGTCGGTGTCCGTCTGCCCCTCCCCACCAAGGCAGTAAACCTTGGTCGAAACACTAAAGTCGTTTTCAGCATCTCCTGCTTCTCCTTATTCTTGTGTCCTGCTGTCTTAGAAATTTTGAACCTGAAAGCATCCTGCTGCTCAGTGTAGCCTCTGCCAGCAGAACCACAATTTAACCATGGTTTAAAAATGCAGATTTGTTTAAAAATATAGTGGTGTCTTAATTATATGTTCCCTTTACGTCTTTAGGAAATCAATATCGCAACATTCAACAAACTGCATTGCAGAGTGTAGATTACAACACATGTGACCGAGACACATGTAAGACTTATCGAGTCATCTACCCTCCAGCCACTTGTGCAGTAGAGAGTCACAGAGAGCCTACAGCCTATCTCAGAAAGCACAGGGCACAAGGCAGGGGAATACACTGGATCACATTCAAGTGAATCACATGGCTTAATTGCATGTTGACCTGCAGATTCATAGCATCAGACATACAGAGAACATTAACAACATAGTAAATTATACAGTCCTATCTCTGCTAAAGTACATCCTGAAATAAGATGAAGTGCTGACTGTCTGCAGCAACAATAGGTTAAATAAAAGTTTTCATATTAAAGCTTAAATGTTATCTTAGCTTAGTTACTGAGTGAGTTGTGACTGTGCTAGTTTCTCCGTGTTACGGGTTTCTTTGTTTTGGTTATTGTTTGAGAGCTTATGTTAGAATTCTATAGCTTCACAACCTGACATGAAATTAACATTTTCTAGCATGTCAAACAGCTATAATCGGTGACTGACTTATAAATACACAAGGACTGAAGTCACGGTGCATATACGCTGCATTAGCACAGAAGAGGAACTTGACAGTACACTTACTCTGTCCCTACAGGATCCTGCAACACTTCAACTCCAGTCCAGAGGACTACACTGTAGTCTTTACTGCAGGCTGCACAGCAGCTATCAAGCTAGTAGCAGAAAGCTTCCCGTGGACTCCAGCCTCTTCTTTCTGTTACCTGACTGACAATCACACTTCAGTGGTTGGCATTCGTGGCCTGACATCACCAATCGGCGTAGCATCCATACCCATCAGCCCTGAAGAGGTGGAGGGGAGGGCAGGTGAAAGAACATGTCCGAAGGTGGGAAACTCCCAGGCGCCACACCTCTTCTGCTACCCAGCCCAGAGCAACTACTCCGGGAAGAAGTACCCTCTGTGGCATGTCAAGGGCATCCGTTCAAGAGAGCTGTACCCCTCATGTACTCGGGAGGGCCAGTGGTTTGTGCTTCTTGATGCATCCAACTTGGTGGGTTGCTCACCCCTAGACCTACAGGAGTGTCCTGCAGACTTCCTTCCTGTCTCCTTCTACAAGATGTTTGGCTTCCCTACTGGATTAGGGGCCCTGATCATCCGGAACGAATGCTTAGATATGCTAAAGAAAACCTATTTCGGAGGAGGAACAGCCGCAGCCTACCTGGCTGGAGAGGACTACTATGTACCAAGGTTTAACATTGATGGCAGGTATAGCTAAGCACTCATTCACTTTGGTCAAATCACACTCTCCTCAGTATATCAATCAACCAGTTTCTTCTGTTGCTTTTGGTAGCACATTGTTCAGTCTACCATGCGTTCAAATGTTTTGTGAAGCTTGTTCACAGAAAATGCAGCTACCTGTGTGAAGATGTTTCATAGTCTATAAATATAGTTTCACCAAAGCACTTAAGTGTTAGATTTAGAAAGACATAACTATTGTTGTCCTGGCTACCTAGTTCAAGTCACCAATTTGATACCTTCCCTTGTATTGGGTGGCATCTACCTATTGTTGCTAAATCTTTATAAGGCATATTTAGGTGACTGTTTTAGCAATTCAGCTGCATAATAATTGAATATCATTGAATATTTCTTGAAAGTTTTAATGTGCTTCGAAATTTCTTTGTGTGTAATGTTCCTTCCCTTACTCTGTGTGTAATGTTTTGTGACTGTGGTCTTTATAGATTTGAAGATGGCACCATATCCTTCCTGGACATCATTGCAGTAAATCATGGCTTTGAAGCCCTGCACAGGCTCACAGGTGAGCAGATACAGAATATTGGGGAAAACAAGAGCTGCTTTCCTGAGTCATTTGAACGCAACACAATCATAATATTTCAAATGAAAGAAAATTTTATGAAGGCCTGCCATCTCTTTATAATTTAGATCTGGAAGTATACTACAGAATTTTGCCTGTTCTTTGCATGGTTTAAAATCTTTAATGTATCAGTGTGAACAACAAAAGACAAGCTTAAGTAAAACAGCAGGTAAGGCCTTCATCAAAATCCCTGTGAATCTAGCCTCTTGTTTTTTCACAGTACTACATATTGAATTTTATACTTGTAATTATCATTGTGATGTGAGAATAAGCCTCACTATCTGGCTATATATGAATACATGCCCATATTCTAAGGACATGCTAAATGACACACTGACCCCCCTTGAAGGTCAAGTTAATTTTATTTAGTTTTATTTTCTATATAGTGCCAGATCAAAACAGAAGTCATTTAAGGTTAGCTTTCCTGGAGAACAGGTCTATACATTGTTCTTTTATTAAACAAACTAACCTGTCCTGTTAACAGTCATCTCTGGCATTAGTGCTGTCAAACGGACACCAATAGGATTCATGGCGTTCATGTGTTTCATTTAATGACGGCAGTCAATATAACAACTGAACTAAACATCATAACATTTCTTTTTATGACTATTATCCACAAAGTGTGCAGCTTTTGTCACTGCAGTGTATCTTTCTGGAAGAACATTTCTAGAGCCTCTTGATATGGGAAGTCAGAAACGTCTGGCCCATTTATTGAGATCCGTATGCAGGCTGCAAGATGGTCTCCTTGCAGTCTATTGCGGATGTTTGTCTTGACCTGCAAACACATTAACTGTTAGGCTTTAAAAGTGATAGCTGATACCTTAAAATAGTGATAGTTTAAAGCAGAAAATCCCATTGTGAAACGTATTTATTACCCTGTTTATGGTTGAGAAGTCCCTCTCATAGTTTACACTACTGACTGGGTGGTAGATGCGATATCTTTTCCGACGCGCACTCTCTGTCCGCTGGTGGGAGTGTGCTCACCTGTGTGTGCACGCACGTGTCTATGCGCGCACATTGGGGCGGAACTCCGCCGTGCGCAATACTGAGAGAAGAGGAGAATTGGAAACGCACGACCGTGTAGAGACGAAAAATGACAAGCTGTTGTTTAAATAAGATAAATAACACAAGGCTATTTATTTTGTTTAATAAAAGGACAATGTATAGACCTGTTCTATAGGAAAGGTAACCTTAAATGACTTCTGTTGTGATCTAGCGCTATATAGAAAATAAAATTAACTTGACCTTCAAGGGGGGGCGGGAGGTGCCGTTGGGGGGAGGGGGGTGCCCCCCCTAATATAATGGTAGGGGAAACACTGCCATAGTAAATGACTGTGGACCACCCCGCACTGCTGGGACTGAAACCAGATATTGTTAGGTACAGTTAATAGATTAACCAAAATGTTTGACATAAATGAGGTTTTTAGGGGATCAGAACAACTGAAAATACAGTAAACATTTCCGTGCGGTTAGTTTTGCATTTTTAATGATCCAGAGTGCAAAATGTAGTGCTCCAAGTGCGTATAGTAGTAACTTTATACAAACAGGTGTATAAGTTAGATAGATTGTATGTTATATAGGAAATGACGAGGTAATTTGACATGCAAACTCAAACTGTACTGTTCGTTTAGAAATTGGTAATAAACATACTGTTTATGTTATTGTTCAGACTGTTATGGTTCGGGGTGCCCAAGTAGCCTATTATTAGTGAATTTTCCCATTCGCCAAGATCTTCCGCCACGCGAATGTGAAGGGATTAAAGTATTGATTTAAAAAATGAGTCGGCCATTCAAAATGTTTGAAACATTGCATCACAGTGACACCTGGTGGCCAATCATGCTGTATAAAAGACTTTTTGCAGGCAAGCTAGACCTGATCATACAAACTGTATTGATTAAACTGCAGAAGGAATAAGAAGTTCATTATGATGCCATAGATCAGAGACATTCAAACTGCTTTTGACATGGCCCCTTAGGACTGATATATTTGTCCTGATCGCCCCACACACACCCACAAAAAACCATCTTCCAGATATGTATTGTCATATTTTCTGTTTTTGTTTGTTTTAGGTGTTTCATCACATTTTCTTTGAAATATAGCTACTAGCAGAGAGATATTTCTCTGTGGTTCATCCAAGTATGTAAGCACTAACTAGGCAACTTTCCCACTGTAAACTTAATTACATCACCGGTCATAACAGTTTCATGTATTCAGTACTCGGTGCTTGTTTTGCACATTTCAATTACAGTAATAATGTTTGGGACAAAGACACCTTTTTCCTTGATTTACCCCTCCGTTCCACAGTTTAAAATTTGAAATCAAACAAATCAGACATGATTAAAGTGCACATTCCAGACTTCAATATAAAGTTATTTGGTTTCACTTTGTAAAAATGATAATACGTTCTATACATAGACCCCTCATTTCAGGGCACCATAATGTTTGGCACAAAGCAATGGTGTGTATATTAAAGCATGGTACTTTGTTGCATATCCCTTGCATGCAACGACGGCTTGAAGTCTGCGATTCATAGACGTCACCAGGTGCTGAGTATCTTTAGTGATGCTCTGCCAAGCCTCTAATGCAGCCACCTTCAGCTCCTCCAGATTTGATGAACTTGCCCCTTTAAGTTTCCTCTTCAGCATATGGAAGGCATATGCTCAACTGGATTTAAATTGGGTGGCTAACTTGGTCACTCAAGAATTTTTCATTTTACGATTTGAAAAACTCATGTTGTAACAATCAATACTTTATTGATCCCGGTGGTGAAATTGTCTTTACACCTCCCTCAACTTGCTCTTTGTAGAGTAAGCTGTCCACGAAGGGCTGCCACCCATAGCATCGCCCAGGGAGCTGGGGGTTGAGGGTCTTGCCCAACGACCCACAGACATGCTGAGGCTGGGTTTGAACCGGCAACCTTCTGATTACAGGCACACTGGCTTAGCCCACTGAGCCACACGCTGCCCCTTTAGCAATTTAAATGGTGTGCTATTGCTATGGCTGACCACTAGAGGCTGTATGGGTCGTTGCTTCCTTTGTGGGGGCCCCAGGCAAGTTACTGGAACCCGGGAAAAAAATGCCGTTGGGGCAGGCCGTCAGGCTTCCGTCCCCTAAGTGGTTACACTGGCTTTCACTGACTACACTTATAACCAAGGAGATAGCTAGGCAGTTGCCTACACTTGATGAGTGACACACATCTTTATTGCATGCACACGCTACTTGTGGCTAATACCTGCGCTTTGACTGGTTTAAAATCTTTTAAAGTTATTACTAAAACAAGATGTGATGACAGATCCAGATAGCTAATGTACTATATCTCATTGCAAATGGTGCTTAACCACGGCAGGTGTCAGGCACTGGAGACTCCCAACTTTACAAATAACACGCACACTTGGCTTGCAGCACAAAGCGGTGTGAAACTTGTCTAAAGCAGGCACACACATAGGAGTAAGATCCCGATAGGTTGCTAAGATATCGGTCTTATCTCAGGCAGTCTAAGCGTACCAGAATTCAGGTTAGAACCATGTAAGAGATCTCTGACAAGATATTAAGAAACAGAGAATCTCATCTGAATCAATCCTGGAACACAATGCACACACTATATCTGAGAACCTCGTCAGATACAGGGTAAACGTTTACCGCAGTTTTGGCCAAACGAAAGAAAGGAAAAGGCAGTGCTTTTCTTAAAAAAAAAAAAAGAAAACCAAAGAAAATAATAATGATAAAGCTACTAATAATAAAAGAAAATAAAAAGCTTGGTTTAGGGGCCCAATAGTAGTACCGCAAGGTCGATCAGTCATCAGCCTTGGCAGTTTGTTCATGGCAGCCCTTATTCAGCTGCATGTTTGCTCATAATAAGTTTAAACCAGTGCCCTCATTCTCCACCAATTCTGTAGAAAAAATAAGCTCAAATTTGTGTCTCCACCAATATCTAGGGAAATTAATGACTATTTTATTATTGATTAATGAACCCTTTAAGTGGCACACCCAGAAAAAGGCATTGAAAAAAATATTTTTTATCAGATCTTTGCGCTGTAGGCCAATATAAAAAAAAAAAACAATAGTTTTTTCAAACACTGACCATGTTTGTTAATTACAGAGGTCTACCAAATGGTACAGGAAACCGTTAAAGGTAAAAGTAACATTTATGAAATGTTTCCAAAAATATCAAAGCAACATCTTTGTGTTTTTCTTTTGTTTTTTTATTTGTTTTATTCTTAAATAGTATACAAATTTTACAAAATTAATAACAATATCAGCATGAAAAACAGGTCTATCAACACAACACGTAAAACAGAGACAGAGCCGCCTTTCACAAATCCGAGCGTGCTGCAGATCATGGTGCTTTAGCCTGTGTGGGGGGTAGAGAGAGAGTTTGTGTGTCTTGTGAAATGAAACTGAAAAAATGTAATTGTTTTATGTAATGTAGCTTTCGTGTTTCTATAACTCACCTTTCTGAATGGCACTTAATTTTTTTCTGGTGGTATATGAAGAAGCAATTCTGGTCCACATTCAAGCACAGGAAGACTGCACATTTGTGGCACTTCCACCTTGAAACTCCCTTTGGACAGTAGCTGCATATCCCTCGATTGTCAGAGTGGAGGGGTCAATGTGCAACGTTGTCAAATCTGGCGTTGGTTGGGACGATCTTTCGATTTAAGCTTTTTGGTTCCTCAGCAGGAGGTGAGGAACATGGTGGCCTGCCAATTGATGGCTTGTTGATGAGCTTCAGACCGGAAGCAATACCCAAATGAAAATTCTTCAGAGGCACTGACTAGTCATTTAGCAGCTGACATTCCCGCTTGTGAAGAAGCCAGGAATTTGACACGCCGAAGTCAAGCATGTTTATTAAAATTAATTATTATGCTTGAATATAATATCATGGAAGTCCCAATTAGTCAGTTACTGGAAGATTTAGTTCCAGGATATGAATATAATCCATTAATTACAGTATCACTACTTATATACTGTAGCAACTCTATAACAAACTAAGCTCTTGGCCGCAGAGACAGTGTCTCATGATACTTTTGGAAAAGCTTGGGAATTTTAAAAGCTTAAGGCGGTTTGCACCAGTAAATGGACTTAATTATGAGGCAATCATTCAGCCAGAGGTTAAATGCATGCTTTTTGTACATTTTTATTTCTAACACACAACAAACATTACACTTAACACAAAGAAAAGAACAGAATAACAAAACAATAAAATCAGTGAGCAGGATGGAATATGGGAAGGCAGTAATGAAATTTAAATGGGTACCCTTAAAGGAAATACTGTTCTGCACAGCAAGCCTTTGATCCTAAAATGAATGAACAGGACAGGTTAGATTAAAATGAATGAAAATTAGTTTACAGGGTTACGAATGGAGTCTCTGGAAGTTTGTTGGAGAGGTGGTGAGATGATCGAGAGATGGAGTTTGGGGGTGGCGGGGGGCACGAGGTCGCGAACAGCTCTCTGCTTCTGGTGGCTTTATCGTACTTCGCGGTTTCTTCTCCCCCCTTTCCGTGCGGTTGTTCTTCACGCAGGTACCTTCAATCTTTTGGTTCTGCTCCATCTCCAGAGGAATCCAAGGTGTGTGATTTTAAAGTCTAAAGTCCATGAATACTGATTATTGGGTATTCCACACTGATCGGGGACATCCGACAGGAGTCCTGGTCTAGGGGTGTGTATAGGCTATTTTTGATATATCAGAGCACAAGTGTTTCATTTATTTTATGCAAACAGGAAGTGCCACTGAATCAGTTGGTGAACAAATCAGAACAAATGTTTAGATGAATTGAATCAAATCAGGAAGTACTATAGTTTCCAGTTGGATTTGGATCACCGGTTCACACAAATTAGAATCTACTGAAAAAAACAAATTTTTGGAAAAAAAAAGTACACCAAGGGTTAAAGAGGCACAGGTAGAATAGTAATTTGCATCTGGTTTTGGATCACTGGCTCCCATAGCCTAGAAGCTATTTAGATTCAGTTGTAATAGGTGCTTGTAGGAGATCTGGAGTTGCATGAACCTGTAAATTCAAAAACCTAACCAGAGCACCGGTTTTAGCTCCTGCAGGCTCACTATTGATGGGAATATCATCCCTCAAGTCGTATTTCTGTTCCAACAACCTTTCTTGACACATTAGACCATGCAGAACATTTATGTTCTGCATGGTCTAATTTGCCACACAATTCCAGGACCAAACTATGTATTATGGATGGTTGATTGTCTTTGTTGTTTATGCCTCTTATTAATATAACAGTTCTCTAGTCTACATTTATAAGCATCATCCCTAGAATCACTTTTTAAAGACCTCAACAGCAAGATTTTTGATTGCAGAGATTTCAGTACATTTGTTTTGATTGTAAAACTGATTTTGGTAATGGAAAAAAGTGCAATAGAAATTAATTTGATGATGATTATTATTATTGTCAATATTATTTTAATTATTACTATTATTTTTATTATTATTTATTGGTTCTGTTTCTGTGTGTTTGCATGTGTGGTGACTTCAGGGGGAATGGAGAGGATCCAGCTACACACATTTGGCCTGGCTCGCCACACCTACATGATGCTGTCCTGCCTTCAGCATAACAATGGCCAGCCAGTGGCCAGGTTATACTGTGACACTGAGTACCAGGACCCCAGCACCCAGGGACCCCTGTTAAACTTCAACCTGCTGGATGCCCATGGGGATATAGTGGGCTACTCTAAGGTAATCATGATGGGATACAATGTTTTCTTAATATGTAGTCATTTTACCTAAGCAGCTTGCTGTGGCAGGACATGGGAAGCTCAGCTAACAGAAGTAGGCAGCATTTTATTTGATTTTACTGACAAAATGGGACATGAGAAGTCCTTTGGAAAAGTGATCGATGCTGTGTGTGTCATTTCCTGCTTCCTGTTGAGTGCCCATCTTGCCCTGGCAGGTCCAGAAACTAGCTAGCCTCTTTAATATCCAGCTGCGCACTGGCTGCTTCTGCAACACAGGAGCCTGTCAGCATTACCTGGGCATGAGCGACCAGCAGGTGAAAGCCAACCTCCAGGTAAGACTGGTAGAAGAGTCCAGTAAAAATACAGCTCCTGGGAAAGTGCCTGAACATAGCAGCGACCAATTTTCATGGGTGCCGGTTTTTATATTTATGCACTACTGCAGACATTACCCATTGCACCTGATCACATGCCCATGTGCATTCAACATGATTAACATATTCAGTTGTGTGATGATAGTAACCCATTTTACATGGCTATTCTCTGTAATCATGAGACTTGATCACTGCTCTTTCGTATGCAGTTATGTGACCATCCTGTTGCACTGTACTCTGTGTGTGCAGGCAGGCCACGTGTGCGGTGATGATGTGGACATGATCGATGGGTGGCCTACAGGCTCAGTGCGTGTGTCCTTTGGCTACATGTCCACCTTCGGTGACATCCAGCAGCTTCTAAGATTTGTGGTGGACTGCTTTGTGCAGAAGCCAGTGAGGCTGGACTACATCCGGCTGAACAGGCTGCACTCAGCTTCGACTTGCTCTGCGTTTGTGCGACACCCCCAGAGCCCCACAAGACTACAAATCCCCAGCCCCAGTGGCACAGGGGAGGGCCTAGAATTCTCCCATATGGCTGTGGCATGTTCTCCCACACTAAGGACAAGCAATTGTGAGAGAACCCTGAGCCAAATTTTCATATATCCGGTCAAATCATGTGCAGCAATAGAGGTATGATACATCCCTGTGTCCATCCCTCTTACTGTTCTCACTGAATGGTGAGCGCTGTTTGTGAAGAAACCTGTTTCCTCTTACTGTGCTTACTGAATGGTGTACACTGTCTGTGAAGAAGCCCGTTTCCTCTTACTGTACTCACTGAATGGTGAACGCTGTCTGAAGAAACCTGTTTCCTCTTACTGTGCTTACTGAATGGTGTACACTGTCTGTGAAGCCCATTTCCTCTTACTGTACTCACTGAATGGTGAACGCTGTCTGAAGAAACCTGTTTCCTCATACTGTACTCACTGTGTGGTGAATGCTGTGTGTGAAGAAGCCTGTTTCCTCTTACTGTGCTCACTGAATGGTGAACGCTGTCTGTGTAGAAGCCTCTTTCCCAGTAGCACTGTGAATCATGATAGATATAGAAAACCAGTAGAATAGAATAGTGATACTTTGTTAATCTCTGTGGGGATTTTTTTTGCCAACCCCATCTTGCTCTCCATGAGACACACAGGCACATATTCAAGTGACAGCAAGCTTAGGGGCTCATGGCGCAGGGTAGCCAGCATGCTGGGGGTGAAGGTCCCTGCTCAAGGGCCCATGGACACGTGACTGTTCTGCTGAGGCTCAAATTGGGAACCTTACGCTCATAGGCACAGAGGTTTAGACCATTGAGTCACACAGTGTCACCCAAGTACCAGTCACAAGTCAAATCTCATCAGTCAATTTCATTATGCCTTCCAGTTTTTATGTTTATGTGTGTGAATTACATTACAGTTTACATACTTTTGCAGTTCTACAAAAAGTAGATGCCTTTTCAACACTTACTCTCAGTTGACTAGCAATCATCAGCCCCCTCTGCTGGGGAAAGCACCACTGCCCCAGGACCATCCACATTAATGGTATTGATGCAAAGGCCTGCATGTTATGGTTAAGATAAATGTATACAGACAATTCAAACCAGCATTGCCATGCACCCGTAGCCTTCGGGATAGGCTCCAGGACCCCTGACCCTGAATAGGACAAGCAGTCACAGAAAATGGACGGATGGATGGATGGATGAACGGGACAGTTTATGCTTTATTCTCAATAGTAAATAAACCAAGTACAAAGAATTTACAGGCCATGCATCTCCAGATGTCCTAGAAGCAGCTGTTGCAATGTAATCTTCAGGCATGATGTTAATATACAACTGTGTATCAAGGGTATGAAGGATAAGACAGAATAGATAGTGAAAGGACTGAAACAGGTAGATAATGAGGATATAAGAAGGCAGTGAGTGAAGAATGGATAGGGTACATGAAGATAGTAGACAGTAGATTGAGTGAAAAGATAAAGTGAGTAAAAAGTAGAGTGATGATATGATGAGGGGGAGACTGGGGACAAAAGTTGGTCACAGAATTGGAGAGGAGGTACCAGGCCCAAAAACCCCAGAGACTAATTCTAAGGTGAGGCAAGGAAAAATTCCCTCAGAGAAAGGAACCATGGGAGGAACCAGGCTGAAAGGGAAATCCCATCTCCCTCGGGCCAGCAGAGGGTAGTTTGCATAACTTTGGGACATTTGGGCAGATGGAGGGACAGCACAGTACAGCAGAGAGACAGGTGAGGTAGTACAGGGGAGCAGCAGGCAGACCAATGGACAGCCAGGGTACTCTCCTGTATGGGGACCTATGCATGGCTCACTCCAGAAGGAGGGGCTGAAGATATGGCAAAGTGCATTAGCCAGTATGAAACAGAAATACGGTAGTACAAGGTCTGAATATACTTCTGGTGTTTTGTACTGTTGCAGGTGACTCAATGGGCAGTAGGACCCCTCGGCCTTCTTTATGACCGACTCTGGATGGTGGTCAACATTAATGGGGTTTGTTTGAGCCAGAAGCAGGAGCCTCGTTTGTGCCTGATCCAGCCTAGCATTCACTGGGCCTGCAAAGAGCTTTGTCTACACGCTACAGGTAAGCCTTGTTACTGTGGCAACACCTCAGAGCGACAACAGCACAAAGAGCTACCTGTAAGCTATTGACCAGTTCTGTGACAGTGGCACCAGCATAAAGCCACAAATTCAGGACACAGAATAGCCCTACTTCCATGGCAAAATCAGACATATCTGCTTTGTAACAGCCAAAGACTGCTGGTGACAAGCTCATGCCAGATGATGTCTATCTATGGAATACCGAATCATCTGACCATTACCTGAAACTTTAAGAAAGATATCTGTTTAGGATATCTGGTTTTGTAAATCTGACTTATGTTTCCCTTTATATGTTAGAATAACTGTATAAATGAAGCAAATATTTTTTTCAAGATTCAGGTAATTTGCCTGTAATAAAAGTTTTTTATCTAGCTTTTATCTATGGTCAAAAACATACGAAAAGCTGACATCAAGTTGGGGTAGATAAAAGCAGTACATTAGGACATAGAGATGGAACAGAGGTGAGGTAAGAGCACAGAAGATTGATTGGGGGAAGGTTGTAGTTTGGTCAACCCAGGCAGGCTGGGCCCACCATGCACTGTGACCAGGCCAAAGGGAGAGGGAGGGCAGCCCCCAGGGCAACCCCACCCCAGGCAGACCACACCCCACATGACCTGCTACCCCTTTTCTAGGATGAAGTTTGTTTGGTTTTTCCTTTCTCTTGGATTGTTTTTCTGTATGAGTAGAACAGAAAGCACTGATCTAGTGTTATGCATTAAAAGAAGCAGGTCATGCAGGTTCAGGGCAGGAGAGATCAGTAGGCGGGAAAGCGGCCACCGGGGGGCCAACACAGCTTGTGGACCCATCCCAGTGCACCGGGGAGCTACCACACCAGACCAGCTCAGGGACCCATCCCTAGTGCACCAGTGGGCCACCACACCAGACCAGCTCAGGGAACCATCCCTAGTGCACTAGGGGGCCACCAGACCAGCTCAGGGAACCATCCCTAGTGCACAAGGGGGCCACCACACCAGATCAGCTCAGGGAACCATCCCTAGTGCACTAGGGGGCCACCACACCAGACCAGCTCAGGGAACCATCCCTAGTGCACCAGGGGGCCACCACACCAGACCAGCTCAGGGACCTATCCCTAGTGCACCAGGGGGCCACCACACCAGACCAGCTCAGGAAGGGAAGAGAAAGAAAGGAGGAGAGAGAAGAGAGGAAGAGTGAAAAAGAGAAAAAGAAGTAAAGACATAATAAAAGAATTAAGGAATACAGAGCTTACTCATTATGCTTTTAGTTACATAATATGTATTTGTTTGATTCTGTTTGTGAAGCCACAAAACATTTAACAAAAACATGCATAAATATTGACCATTAAACAAATACTTGCCAATAACTGCAGCTTCCCATGTAATGTAAGAAATTTAATCAGAACTTAGTGCAATTGTATGACTTCTCTGTGTTTTCATTGTCTGAATTAATTCTCTTAGGAATGAAACCTTTATCCATTCCACTAGAGGGCAATAAACAGAACCCAGGTGTCAAGGTGTTTCAGAGTAAAGTGTGTGGGGACAGGTATGTGTGTCTTATATTATCTATTTTACAAATGTCATGATGTCTTCCAGTCACCCATCTTTCATAATTACATATACGTCAGGCTGTAATTGAAGTCAGGCTGGTGTCTATCCCAGGAAGCACAGGACACAATGCAGAGGACACCCTGGATGTGATTTTAGCATTATATTATCACTGTATGATGTTTGAGAACGGCCACTTTACACAGCTATGTGATTTGTGTATTTTAGATGCATAAACTGTTATTATACATCTGAATAATCTTTGTTTTAAATGTAATAAATAATTAAATAATAATAAATAATTAAATAATAATTTAATAAATAACGTCACTAGTCGTTGCATCACCCGGATCCACCCCAACCTCACCCCCCAGTGAACTTTTGACCCAGTAACCTTTTGACCTTTAGGTCATAAATCTTTTTGAAAGAAGCAGTATTATCCATCTCTCTTACATCTTTTGATACTATTGATTATAAATCGATTCTTCATAGCACTATGCATAATATGCTTTTGGCAGATCCTCCTGATTTCAATGAATAGGAAAACATGTATCCTGCCACAAAATCAAAAACGTTTGTGCAGTTTGATTTAATTGATCTTATTGTAATGGTTCTCTTTAAACACCGCAAGAACCATCATCATAGCACACTATGGTTTTAACCCAAAAATTCCGCTTAACTGGTGACTATTGTGGCTGTATAGTCTTTATATTTCATTGCCACATCAAACAACATTCCCAAAATAAAGGCATTAGCAAATACCTACACCACACAACAATACAGAGCTGCTTATCAATGAACTTTTTAACTCAAAACAGCTTTTTAATAACTAATAATTTCGGTTTCAATTTATTAGTACTTGAAAAGAATGTCTTACTTAAAACTACTGGCTGCTTCTAATGTGACATTTTTGTGAGCAAATGAAAAAAGCAATGATTTTTATTAAATCATTAAATTAGCAATATTTTACTCCATTAAGGAAGCATCCCAAGACTTTCTGTGAGCACTTTATATAGTACAGTGGTTCCCAAACTTTCTCTGCAGGGCCCCCCTTTTCTAGATAGGAACATTATTGACCCCCCCCCCATTCAAACTACACAGGTTCATATTTAAACTTTATTTGAAATACAACTCCCTTTTCTAATTGAGCGAAACGAATGCAATTACAAAATACAAATGGTGCAATTTCACCACTATGGGAGAAAAAAGAGCAATCAATTAAAAATAAAAGTCCAGCATAAGTTTGAAATTATGCAAATGCAGCTTTAACATTCCTGTTAATATTCATTGGTGTACACAAATTAAAGTTTGTTTTACGATTACCGCATTTTGTTTTTAATGATAACCACAGGTTTCAGCCTATACTATAGCACAAAACAACACTAAATCATAACAATTAATTGATAGTCTCCCTGCACTTCATGTAGAAAATTTTAAACCTCGTTTTTCATGATATGGTTAGATTTTTTTGTCCAGCGCTGCAAAACGTCGTCACGCGTCACAATGTCACATGGTACAAAAACCTTGCAAGAGCAAGACGACTTAAGACAGGTCGTACAGCACCTCTCAGCTGGCTGAACAAACTGGAACTGCCTCCGTGACGACACAACTTTGCCCTTATTGGCTGAAGAACGTGACGTTTGTATCCCAGGAAGTTCCGATGCGTTATCTGATATTTCTCCCGAATATCACGTAAAGCAGTGAGAACTGGTTTTCAGTTCATTTACCTGTTAAAATAAAGTTTAAATAAATTACATAAATGCTCTAATCGTACAAGTAAGTTAGTGGTTTATTTAATGTTAGTTACTGTAATGTTGTGCTGCTTTATTTGTTTAAATGTCCAGTCTGTGAAGAGATTATTTTGCTGAGGCTATCCCATTGGTGCGCCCCTCCGCAATACCTCTGCGCCCCCCAGTTTGGGCACCACTGATATAGTAGTATATATAGTATATTTCTCTCTCTTCCTCAGAGTTCAGAGTGTCGATTGTGGTGATGAAGCTGCTGATTGGATCTCTGAGTTTCTGGGAAAGCCCTGTCGTCTGATTCAGCAGAGCCCTGGCTTCATCAGAGGAATGAAGCGAGGTTGAGATTCCCCCATTACACCCCCCCCCCCCATTTCAGTCTTATACAGCCAGAATTTCTGTACTTTTAGCCTTGGTTCCATGGTATATTATTCTTTTTTCCACTTTGAATTTTGGCCTGAGATTTTGCTAATTGGTCTTGATTTTGCTAAGGGTTGTTCTGCTTCCTTGTTTACTTTATATTTAACACATAATCGATAAATTAATTGATTAGTCAACTTAATAGAACCTTTTTAGCAGTCAATTCATCTTCCATGCCACTTAGCCACAGCTGACTCACTGTGAGCAGAGTAATATCTCAGGTTGGGAATTGGAGTTAGAAGACTTAGTCCATGATATGTGAAGATATGAATGGTGACTCTCTTCTTCAGACCATGCAAAGCCGGTAGCTGGTCTATCTCTGGTAAATGAAGCACAGTATTTGATGATCAACATGGCCAGTGTCAAGTTCTTGAAGGAGCATATCAACGAGAGGTATAATGCCATGCAGATTCTACTGTATATGTGACACCTATATCATAATATTCTGCTTGAAGAGAATAAAGGTGTTATTTTTCAGATGTTAGTCATCACATACAGTTGAAGAGATAACTGTTATCAAAATTTCCTTTAATCCTATAAATGTTAAAATTGTTATCACTCATTAAAATGTTGTGTGGACATTCTGAGTAATTTAGACAAGGGGATTGATGTATACAAATTTTGAATGTATAAAATCTAAATTAATATCTTCTTTGTGGGAAACAGACAGGGCCCTGAGGCTGAAAACCTTGACATCCAGCAGCTCATTGCACGTTTCCGTGCTAATCTAGTCGTCATGGGTGCAGAACCATTTGAGGAGGATAACTGGAAGCATGTGGTGATTGGTGACCTAGTCTTCCAGGTGAGTTGTCCTATTAGCCGGCATCAGTATAGTTTTCTGACAATGAGCAGGTGGCTCATCAGAGCAGCTCCTTATGTGATGTGCCAGGTGACGGACCTCTGCGCAAGATGTCACATGATTGGGATTGATCAGCAGACTGCCACCCACATGCCGGAGCCTCTAAACTCACTGTCTGCCTGCCGCAAGGGGAAGGTTAGTACAGGGGGAGTGCAGTCTGAAGGACCTCAGATAAATGGTATTTTTGCATTTGGGTCAGTTTACATCATGTATATGTAGCCAGGACAGGCAGTACAAGGACCCTCATATGAGTATTATGACAAAAATAATACTGAAGATGGAAATCATTCGATGTTACAACAGACATGGAAGATTTGGTACAATTGATCTCTAATTTTGATAACCTATCAAGTGTAACAAGGTCTGACAACCAGTTCAGGTACTAGCAGAAGTACATGTTTTAATCTCCAATTTTATTGGTTCATCTGATTGATAATGGCTTTGTTCTGGCCATTTATTTTGATCTCTCTTACAGTTGTTTCATTGTTCAGTGTGTACTGACCGTAGCTGAGTTTTTTTTTTTTCTTTCTTTCTTTTAGGTCACTTTTGGTGTGTACTTGGTCCGGCAGCACCAATTGGACCTGGATCATACCTCTACCTTGTCTGTAGGATGTCCAGTTGTCCCTCAGTCACCTTGAGGAGATTAAAGTGCAGCTGCTCTAAAAGTATTATTGATACTTGTATTGATTTTTTAAAATTAATCACTCTCATCTTGTTTCAGTACATTGAGTGATACAAATTTAACAGCAGTACTGAACCCCGCTGATGACAATGTTGTGCCAACTCTTGTATGTAATATTTGTTTGCATGCAGTCTGCATAGTTTACATATTTTACCTGGAAGACAAAGTAATAAAGCTTTCTCCAATTTTAAAAAAGCTAAATGAATAGCACATTTGTATTTTCACACAAAAAACCCAGTCAGGAACACACTTATGTTACGGCTGCTTTTTCCTTCCTTGTTCTGTTATTCACTTTTCCCCCATTATCATTTGTATTTTTCTGCTCTTTCTGATGCCAAATGTTTCCCATCTTACTTTCTATTGTTTGTATTAAGGGTCTCCACAGAAGTTACCCCATATTGGAGCTTCATTACAGGTGTAATGGCAGTGATTACATTAAGTTTACTTTTATATTCAGTGTCTTTTCTAAATTTTTTGTTGATCTGTTGTAGGGATGTAATGATACACTCAACTCACGATTCGATACGCTTCACAATTCGTTCACGATACAATTTTCTCACGATTTTTTTACAGAGCTGCAGACAAATTTATTACAAAATATTCCTTTATCTTTCTAAACTGTGCAAAACATGTCCTTCTTAACAGTGCAACTGAAATTGAATAAAATATTGGTTAAAAAAATCTCAAATCAAAATAAATAAAAAAAAAATCTTGAAATACTGTAAATAAATGGTAACCTTCATAATGCTTTTATATTGCATTCATAAAACATTTAGTACAACTTCATAATGAATTAAGTATTCAGAAATCATTCATAAACATCATGCATGTATACCTTTACATCATAACATTGCTTAACAGCTGTAATATACATTAATAACAAACATTATACAATTATAATGTTTGTTATTAATATATAATCATGTAATGAAAACAGTTCCTTGCTGCCATACTTCTTAAGTAAATTCCAGAGAGAAGGTTGCCTTGGAGAGGATATTACATACTGTATTTGGTAAACCCATGTGAAAAGTTGTAATGAATTGGTATTTAATGTCCTACACAAAGTTACCAACTGTGTTACTGTTTAACTTTGATGTAAAAGCTTTGTTGTAGAGCTAAATGTTCATGTGTCAGGCATACACAGCATAACTTTTAATAATAATGAAGAAATGTGTATGTTATTTATGAACATGATATACAGTATTTATACAGATAGATAGATAAATATCTTTAATCGTGAAGGAAAAAAAATTAAATATATATATATATGATTATGTGTGTGTGAATGCATATATATGCACATATGTTATTGTTTTTATGAAGTATATAGAAATTAAATTAAACATTCATAAATGAAAAATCTTATGAGTGCAGCACGTATGAAAGAAAATTTGCTGAGGTTGGCAATGCAAGTCATTAATTAAACACTAGGCCTCAAATGAACATGAGGGGGCGTCACTGCCGACCTGTACGAATCAGGGGTCTGAAATCTGAAATTTGGCATGCATGAATGAGGGCCACAGCCCCAGGTTGTCATCAATATGACCAGCAACGCCAACTCTGCTGGTGACTCGTGGTCCATCCAACCGCCGCCAGCGCCCATCGCCCCGCTGCGCTTTTGTCCGGAGTATTACTACACTGTGGACTCTGATTCTGTGTGAACAGTGCGGATTTCGCGTGTTCAAAAGGGGGGAGTGTGGAAGTAAAATTGGACATTA